GAGAGAAAAGGAGAGAAAAAATAGACCTATTCCCACTGATTAATCTCAACATTTCCAGGGCCACGTACAAGTATGTGAAGATCACCTGGGAATCCTTTCTGTCACTGACTTGTGTGGCCCCTCTGGTGCCCTCTGACCCCTAACTGGGTTGGTCTTTGACCTGGCGCTGGGGTTTCCAGCTCTCTGCACTTCCCCTCCTGAATGTTAACTACAAGTGATGCTGGGTTTCCAACCACCTGAGATGGTTTTCTGTCTCGTCCGATTTCAGCATGTCTAAAACTGTACAGTCCCGTGCTCACCAGCTTCTCCATGTCTATTAAAGGCTGAGCATTTCCTTTGCCTCTACCACAGATTAAAGCCGTTTAGCAGTCTCTGACTCTCCCTTCCTCTTCTCTCTGGAAGTCCACTTAGTCACCAAGTTCTACGGATTCTTCTTTCACAGTGTTTCTCAGGCTTGTCTCTTCCTTTCCACTCTCACACCTATTGTCTAATGCCAGGTGTGGTTTTCCCCTGTGTGCATTAACTTCCTTGCCCATTTCCTGCCCTTACTGTCCTCCTTCCAGCCATTCCTCCCTGCCACCAACCATTAGAGATGCCATTAGATCAAGAGCTTTGTATTTAGTTGCAGCCTAAGAGGGGATATCATGATTTGGACTCTGCAAACCCCAAATCCCTGCCCTCACAATCTCAAGAGAGTCTCGTTCAAAGAAGTTTGGAATGATGATTATCAGTCAGCCAGCAAAAAAAGCCTCACACACCAAATAGAGTCTAATGTGGAAAACATTATTTCTCAATTGCTTAGCAAACATATCTTTCACCGATTGTTTGTAGGTCAACAACACCTAGACCTGGACGATCAACAGAATCTAAGGTCATGAGGATCCCATTCAAGTGGGTCAACAGACAGATGAAGAGATCAAATGACAGAAGTAAAGAAGAAAGATCATGGGCTTCCCTGGTGGCACAGTGGTTGAGAGTCTGCCTGCCGATGCAGGGGACACGGGTTCGTGCCCCGGTCCGGG